AAATACTTCGAGAAGTGGTTGGCACGTCCCGTGCCCCCAATAGTCCCAACAAAGAGACAACTTTTTCTGGTTTTTTCCTAATCATATGGAAGTCCAGTTGCACGCCAACATCGGCCGCGACTTGATAAATATTACGGATAATGTCCCAACAAGAAGCCGTTGTTGGGCTTCAAGGGCAGGATGGCCCAACTGGCTTCCGCACTCTAACGGCTAACATGAACCGGAGCCAAGAGATGAGTCTTTGTCCTCAGCGACGAGTGAGATTTCTATATCCCTAGAAGTAATATAGTGGACCCTGTGAAGTGTTTTGTCAAATGGGAACCTCATTTTGAGTATGAGATTCCAACAGTCGGAAATAGTGGAAGTACTGTCATGGATGAACATGTGTCCGACCATTCGGCGATTCCTCAGTTCTATGTATCCAGCGAAATGTGGGTGGGGCTGAATACAAGGGTAGCCTGTAGAATACAATGATTCCCTTTGATAGTCAGAACTAGCCGGAAAAGTTGGGTTTCCCATCGCGGCAATGACCCGATGCAGGTCTACCTCCTCTCTGCTGCCTTCCTATGCCCAGAAAAAAAGCTCTTATGAAGTGACCGAATCAAGATCCAGAGTCTAACTGAATTCATCATACCACGGAAGAGCTGGCATGTCGCTCAATCCACATTCCAGTCAAGAACCCCACCAAACGTTGCGATTTAGTTCACAATGTGCAGGGTTCGACTTAAAAATCCTAAAATTGTTTTATAATCAGCTCCATGTCAAGAAAAACTATGCTGACATAGAAATTCACAGCTACTCATCAGATAACTAATTTATTACGTAGGTTCGAGAGCTATTTTGCCGAATTCGATTGGAATTGAGAAGTTTCCAAACTTTTGACGCGCCCTTTCCTATAAAAATTCGTATTTTTCAATTGTGATTCTCGTTTTCAAGAAATTAGTGTGCCTATTTTAATCTACACTCGATTCTGCATATAATATGTGCAATTAGGAGCTTGGACTGTATCGAAACTTCTACTGTACATATGAACGTTAGGGTTTAATACCACCATCCCTTTGACATGCCAGTTGTCTTTCCGAAATTCCACTTTGATTCCTACAATACATGATCATGAAGAATAAGACTGCAGCCACGTTTTGTATATTGCCAAAGTCTAAATTTTGATAGAAAACAGCTTTTAGGGACAATTTTGCCCCATGTTGTGCGGGAGTTGGACGCGCCGAAATAGAGCCGTGGCCTCACGAGCACGCTCCGTGCAAATACGCATTGTCGTCAAAGGGTTAATGTGAGAATATGATGTGATTTAAAAGTATTCGGAGTTTTCTAGGCACAATAGTGTTACTTTAAAACGTTAGATAGTTATAGATACAAAGAAGTTTGTGGGCTCCAGCCCTTGGCTCCATTGCTTTTATGATTTGTAGCTAGTGGTTAGAGTGAACCGCTCATTCTGCGCGTTACCTACATATTCCTTTCTAAGAAATGATTTGACACGAGAGAAAGGGATTTTACAATTAAAGTTTGCGTTGCCGTTCCGTTGAAAAATTTCCCCTTCCTAAAAAAAAACATTTGATCCAGACATGTTTTGAATAGGTCGCGACATTTGTCATTCAGCCAGATTCGATATCGACATTCAGCCATTTCTAATATAAATCTTTCTGTGTTGCATTGGAGCCCACGGGTCGGATGCTACTCTTCCCCAGGGCAAACGATACGAAGATTTCTTCGAAATCTTTATATCTTTTAAACGGGAATCGTAAGAGAGGCTTTTTTTGTAATTTATGCATGAGTGTAAAAGCAAACATATGCTCAAGTAAGCAGCAATGTCGTTGAAAACTAATATATTTGAACGGATTTTTTCCTTCCCGTTACCTAGGAGAAGATAGCATACGGGTCCATGAGTGTTAGCAAGCGTTACAGGTTAAAGGAGGAATTCGCGATTAGAACGAAGGTCGAAGAAAGGGAAACTGACCTAGTTGAG